TATTTATTATAAATAATTATTTTTTTCATCTAAAAATTATGATAAAATTCAATTATTAAAAATCAAGAAATAAATTATCAAAATTTTATATAAATATATTATATAAAATTTATATGTAAAGAAATTTTTATCCCATATTTAATTGACTCAAGAGAAATAAAAAATTGTTGGGTTACAATACAATAGTCAAGGTCATAGACTCAGAACAATTAAACTGATTGTTTTTACTACAACAAAACACCTGAAACAAAGACACACACATAAATATATCAACTCGATCGTTTAATATTATACGCTAGAAATTGGATCGCAGTTGAAATATTTTTCCAACACGTTCATTTACAAACTGTCCCAATAGAAGAGAAACATAAAAGCTGAGGAAAAAATAATGACCACTTGTCTTGGAAAAAGAAAAGAACATCCCACTTGAAATATAAATCATTTGGTAATCTTCCTTAATTAATTACTATGCTAGTAAGAGCTACATCTGCCTACGTCTTTGACCTTTTGATGAATATTTAGTAATCTGAACCATTTTATATTCTTAATTACTGCAATTTCTCACTTTTTATTCCCCTATACACGGATTTTATTTCCAGATTACTCCAGAATTTTCCATCTCCCTTCTAATTTACTCTGGGAGATTAATTGCTACTGCCAATTCCAGCTTGCTTCTTGTCTATTATCATTATTCAAACAAATGAAGAATACAAACTCCATTTTGATACTAAGCCCTTTGATAATCAAAGTATTAGAACTCAATTAATATAAAATTAAGTGGAAGAGCACAAACTTTGAAAAAGTAAAATTAAACTCCAAACAATAACATGGAAAATGAAGTCGATCGGTACAATGAGTAGAAAGTTCTTTACAAATTTTTTTATTCTAAACGTGAATGGTGAATAATTCGCCTTTAACTAACATGCTAAAGTGAATAAAACTGGGTCAGTACCAATTAGCTGTGCATGTTTTTTGTGCTCATACATTGCTATGAAACCTGTCTTTTTCTTTTCTAATATCCTGCCTGTTGGATCACGAACAGGAGTACAATTCTCTCTTTTTTTTTTCAGACATTCTTTGAAGACTTGATAGCTTCTTGCTCTGCATTATAGGGGAAGAATATGGAGAAAGCAACCTTTTTTAGTCATGTATGTTCAAAAACATGAAAAAGAGAACAAAAACGAAAACCCCACTAACAAGACCACTCAGTCTCCATTGTTTTGGCAAGAAGGGGAAGCATTTCGTGTTTAATCAGAAATTAACGTGTTTAGGACAAGGATCTATACCTTTTAATATTGTCCTAACATTGAACAAGGAAAGAACTGCATATACTTTTATATTAAAGGTTGCTTTACCCTAAAGGTTAATTAAGGACACTTTTGTTAAAAAATTAAGGGCAGGCGTGCCCCCTACAAGGGTCAAGTTTTGAACAAGAAATTGTCCATTTCATCATTTATGATGTGAGCCAGCGATCCCCCAACACCTCACATGGCTTACAAAGACTGACATTAAGCATATAGATGTTTACTATTCACACCACGCATGTATAGTGGATGAAATTTCTCAAAATTTTGGGGGATTCAAAGCAGATTTACAACAGTTAAAGATTATTAATAAAAGGAAGGTTGTTCTCAATTTCCCATAGCAGAATCACATCTATGCTCTAATTAAACTTAAACAACACAATTACTTATGTTTAAAAAAACAGAATTGTCAGATGAAATTAGGAATTCAGTTTGTGTTTGTCCAGCATCGGACAATATGCATCTGGTTTTGGTGTATCTTTTTCCTTTTTTTTTTTTGGCCAACAAACTGGTTTTGGTGTATCTGCTAATCAGAGATTTGCCTTTCTAACATGTGAATGTTTAGTAAGTGCTGGCACGGCTGCCTTGAGTTATAATTTTTTTAGTAGAATTTCATTTTTTTTATCAGCTTTAATAGTAGAATTTTTGGTCTACCAGAAAATTATAATTTTTGTTTTTCTTGGTAAGTTTCGATCATATATATTTATTTCTTTCTGTTGTTAATTTATTGCAAAAGGGTATCTAATGATTCATTCTACACATCCTTTTGAGTCCTTACTCCATTAGAAAGAAATTCAAAACCCTAACATTTTCTTTCATGTTATTTTATCAAAGCATTTAAAGGAAATTCTTGATTATTTGCTGAGATATGCCACTTTGAGGTTTTCACTTGAATTGCATTGGACTATATATGGTGCTTTACAAAAAGTTGTGCTTGGTATTTCAATACTCCACATTAACAAAGTGGCCACTTTAGCTTTTTTGAAGTACAATTTATTTTTATAACCTTGGATTTATTAGTATAATAAAAAATATAAGATTTAAATTTAGAACTTTTCACGAATTTATTCATTTGTGTTAATATTATGAAAGCATTCCTAGTAAATTGAGCATTCTAAGTTATGAATTTGGATCAAAGATCTTAAGCAATCCAAAAGAGGTGGCAGTTCCGGATAAGATGGTGGGGTGCCCTCGTCCAGCAAAAAGAATCTCCCACACACACACACACACCTGCAAATTAGTACCTTCGGTTAGGCACTAGATTACAAAATTAAACTTATCTACACCTAATCCCCTCCTCCTAATTCCGAACCTTGACTCCATCTACACCGCCGGCCATGTCAGTCCAAGCTCGCGGCTTAATAAGACATGTCTCCACGTGGCTCTCGTGCCCCATTTCCAAGGTCAGGCGCCTGTTCCCTTTGTTTAAGAATGTACCGTTTAATATAAACATAATCTAATATGCAATAACAACCGATGTCTTTTTTTTTTTTGAACATAACAACCGATGTCTTTTTTTCTTATATATATATATAGTTATCATTAAATATCTCTAGATTGATTTACATATATTTCAAAATTAATTTCTCTTTTAAATTATTTTTAAAATACACTTTTACATTAATTTAATGAGTATTAATTTAAACATTAAATCAAACAATACTTATTCACTAATAGATCTAATTCCTAAGTTCCACTATCTATTATTAATAGTAAATGCAGCTTATATATTGTCATGCACTTTTTAATTAATGTCAATTGGATAATAATTGACCTTAGCATAGAATAAGTTAGTTGGGAAAATAGACGGGTGGCCTTAGCCTGCTTTTGTTGCTATATATTTGAGGGAACGTCCAAGCTGTATAGAAAGAGACTGCTGCTTGCTTCACCACCTTCCTTCCTTCTTCCCCTTATCTTTCAATCTTCTTCCTCTTCCATTCATCTCCGGCGAGGGAATTAGAGAGGCGAAAACACAGAGATGGGAAACTGCCAAGCCGTTGATGCTGCAGCCTTGGTGATACAGCATCCCTGCGGGAAGATAGAGAGGATGTATTGGCCAGTCACGGCCAGTGAGGTGATGAGAATGAATCCTGGTCATTATGTTTCTCTGATCATTCCATTGCCTGTCTCCACTGAAGAGAATCAGGATCAGAAAACTGTCAGATACACCCGGATTAAGCTTCTCCGGCAGAGTGATACTCTTGCCCTTGGTCATGCTTATCGGCTTATCACTTCTCAAGGTAACCATGTGTTTCTTCCTCTTTCAGTCTCGCTTTCTTTGTCTGAAGATTATTGAGTTGTTCTGATTATGAATTTTCCCAATTGTTCTTCTATGGTTGCAGAGGTTATGAAGGTCGTGAGAGCAAAGAAGTATGCAAAGGTAAAGGCACAGCAGCTTAATTCGGTAGAGAAGTTGCAGGAAGCACCTAAGAATCAAATTTCAGGGTTTGAGTCAGGAATAAAGTCTAACATGGAGAAGAACTCTCAGGTAATTCTCTGAGAACCATATATATCAGCATAAAATCGACCAATCTGGATATTATTTTACAAAATAAATTTTCAAAAAGCTTGATCTGCTCCATTATCCTGGTAAACTCATTAGAGAATTATATTATGAATTTTTTTAAGCGTCCAAGTTAAAAATAGCATTTTCATTAAAAACTTATATAAAAAAATGTAAAAATTGGTATTAATTTTAATATTTTTGTTACGTAAATAAATTTAATTAAATAATTTACGAATTAAAAGTTATTTTTTTTATTTTTTTAACATAAATTTATTAAAAAATTAAATTAATTACACTTTTAATTTATA